CTAGCGTAAGTTAAATACAACTCACATGGCAGTTAATGTGTTAAAGATGGTCTTGTTATATTACCTAGGCTACTGTTGATCTCCTGGACTCAAGTGATCCACCTGCCCCAACCTCCTGAGTAGTTAGGACTATAGGCACATACCAAAGAGCCCAGCTAAAACTTTTAAAAAGGAAATGAAGTCTCCATGTAATCAATACAAAACTAAAAGTTTTTTAGCTAGTCCAATTTAGAAAAGTATGAATCGAAAGAACTCAGCCTTTTATTACCAAGCTTCTGTGAACTTGGTACTCACGAACATCTACCTAGCAGCCTCAAATACTTCTTATATCACAATCAAGAATACACTGCTTGTTTTTAAATTGACATTCATAGTCAAGAAACAATCCAAAAACAACCCCTATGCAAGCTCATTCTACTCATCTATAATTAAAAGAGCTTAAAAAGATATATAACAGTAATACCTCAGTTAGATCATCCAAGACATCTTTTCTTTCCATGTCATTGTCACAGCAACGAAGGGCACTGTACAAAATGTCTACCAGGAAACCAGCATTCTTCCTTTGGTCTTCATTTAGCCAACCTATTAGTTTCTGGTATAAAAACTGCACTGCAGGATTTTTTTGTGCAAGTTTGGCTATTTCAGGAGGTTTGGCTTTAACAATACTCTGTTTTTCATCACCAAGAAGCATTTTAAATACTTTGCTTGAAGAAAAGGAGTCAAGTAGAGTAGAAACAAATCTTAGATGTTGCTCACACTTTTGTTCATTGACATAATTAATACTCATCTCTGCGAGTTTGCAGACTAAGTCTTCCAAAGGTTTTTTCCTTAAAGGAGACAAAAGGTCTGAAGAATTATGATTGAGAGAGGGTTCAGTCGTTAATTCCATGCCTTCACTGTTCTCTCCTTCTGAAGATACACACTTTTCATTCTCTTTATTAGTTTCAGGTATCTCATCAGCAAATCTAACCCTACCATTTTTTTTTTTATTTGACTTCAATGAGCTCTTTGGCTTCTGAAGGACCTGTAATAGGTTTGATACACCTAAAATGGACTCAACATCAGCTTCTGGTTCATTGACTTTCTCGACACAGATCTCTGACAGTTTTTCCCAGAAATGTAGCAGTACATTCTTCAAATTGTGAGCCATTTTATCATCTTTTTCCATGTCTGCTTTGGCTTCCCAGGAACTTAAAGTTTCTGCTAAATGGTTAAATAGCTGCCCGTGTTGCAATCCTGGGTCTCTGAGAACTGCATCAATAAAAGGGATCAACTGGAAGAGAAGGTGTAATATTGTAAAATATGTATGAGGTCTTTGACCCGTTTCCTAGCACACAACCCTAAAATCCTTGGACTCTCCAAAGTGATGTCTTTTTGTATGCTAACAGGTTGACTGATGGCTGGTGGCCTCTAAGTAGCCTAAAATGGGGGCTAGTCACCAGAAAGACTAAGGCAGGACTAAAGGGTTGAGACTTTCAATATCACTCCAACCTCCAGAAAAAGGAGAGGGGCTGAAAAGTTAAGTTGATCAGCAATGGCCAATAATTTAATCAATCACATATAGTAATAAAGCCTCCATAAACATACAAAAGTACAAACAGGGTTCAAGGAGCTTCCAGATAGCTGAATATATGGAGGTTCCTGGAGGGTGGAGTGCCAGAGAGGGCATGGAAGTTCAATACCCCTTCCCATACCTCACTCGATGCATCTGTATCCTTTGCAATATCCTTTATAATAAACCGGTAAACATTAAGTTGTTTCCCTGAGTTCTGTAAGCCACTCTAGTGAATGAACTCAAGGAGAGGGTCATGGGATACCTGATTTATAACCAGTCAGTCAGAAGCACAAGTAAAACAACATGGAGCTTGTGATGGCACTGCAAGTGGGGGGCAGTCTTGTGGGACTGAGCCCTCAACCTGTGGGATCTGACACTAATCTACAGATAGAGTCAGAATTGAATTAGAGGACACCCAGCTGTTGTCTGCTGCAAAACTGACTG